GGATTGGTCTCCTGAGGGCTCAGAAGGATGACCCTTGGGTTGGTCTTCTTAGACCCCCGATTTTGGCTTTCTAGGGTTCAGGGGGCTGACCCCCGGGTTGGGCTTCTTAGGGTTCAGGTGGCTGACCCCCGGGTTTGGCTCCTGAGGGTTCAGGGGCAGACCCCCAAGTTTGGCTTCCTAGGGTTCTGCGGGCTGACCCCCGGGTTGGGCTCCTTAGGGCTCAGGGGGCTGACCCCTGGGTTTGGCTCCTTAGGGCTCAGGGGCGGACCCCCGAGTTTGGCTTCTTCGGGTTCAGGGGGCGGACTCCCGAGTTTGGCTTCTTAGGGTTCAAGGGGCGGAACCCCGGGTTGGGCTCCTTAAGGTTCAGGGGGCGGACCCCCAAGTTTGGCTTCTCAGGGTTCAGGGGGTGGACCCCCGAGTTTGGCTTCCTAGGGTTCAGGAGGCTGTCCCGCCGGTTCGGCTCCTTAGGGTTCAGGGGGCTGACCCCCGATTTTGGCTTTCTAGGGTTCAGGGGGCTGACCCCCGAGTTTGGCTTCCTAGGGTTCTGGGGGCTGACCCCCGGGTTGGGCTCCTTAGGGCTCAGGGGGCTGACCCCCGGGTTGGGCTCCTTAGGGTTCAGGGGGCGGACCCCCGAGTTTGGCTTCTTATTGTTCAGGGGGCGGACCCCCGCTTTTGGCTTCCTAGGGTTCAGGGGGCTGACCCCGGGTGCGGCTCCTTATGGCTCAGGGGGCTGACTTCCGGATTGGGCTGCTTAGGGTTCAGGGGGCTGACTTCCGGGTTGGGCTCCTTAGAGCTCATGGGGCTGACCCCCGGGTTGGTCTCCTAAGGGCTCAGGGGGCTGACCCCCGGGTAGGTCTCCTTCGGGTTCAGGGGGCGGACCCCCGAGTTTGGCTTCTTAGGGTTCAGGGGGCGGACCCCCGGGTTGGGCTCCTTAGGGTTCAGGGGGCGGACCCCCGCGTTTGGCTTCCGAGGGTTCAGGGGGCTGACCCCCGGGTTGGGCTTCTTACGGCTCAGGGGGCGGACCCCCGGGTTGGGCTCCTTAGGGCTCAGGAGGTTGATCCCCGGGATGGTCTCCTGAGTGCTCAGGGGGCTGACCTCCGGGTTGGTCTCCTTAGGGTTAAGGGGGCGGACCCCCGAATTTGGCTTCCTAGGGTTTAGGGGGTGGACCCCCAAGTTTGGCTTCCTAGGGTTCAGGGGGCTGACCCCCGGGTTCGGCTCCTTAGGGTCAGGAGGCTGTCCCCCCATTTTGGCTTTCTAGGGTTCAGGAGGCAGACCCCCGGGTTGAGCTCCTTAGGGTTCAGGGGGCTGACCCCCGGGTTTGGCTCCTTAGGGTTCAGGGGGCGGACCCCCGCGTTTGGCTACCTAGGGTTCTGGGGGCTGACCCCCGGGTTGGGCTTCTTACGGCTCAGGGGGCTGACCCCCGGGTTGGGCTTCTTAGGGTTCAGGGGGCTTACCCCCGTGTTGGGCTACTTAGGGCTCAGGGGGCTGACCCCCGGGTTTGTTTCCTAAGGGCTCAGGGGGCGGACCCCCGAGTTTGGCTTCTTAGGGTTCAGGGGGCGGACCCCCGAGTTTGGCTCCCTAGGGTTCAGGGGGCTGATCCCCGGATTGGGTCAGCCCCCGGCCCCCGGGATTATTTCGATTAAATATCGAATGACATTGCTGTAATTCGTACTCCGTAGCTTGAAGTCTATGATTCGCCTTCAAATGGCCGGGTATGCAAAATGACTGCCGTGAAGCACGAATAGTGGTATCAGAATTTTGCTTTTAGTTTACGGATTGATTTGAAGGCGCTCTTCTGTATCCTTTGTGAATTACCGTGTGCAATGATGTTGACCAAAAAGTTCATAATTTCGGGTTTTAAATCGAGCCGCATATTCGAAAAACGCCGAGGAATATCATTTTGAAAAAATAATAAGATTGTTGTTGGTCTATGCGTATTATATCAAAGAAGAGAGCGCAGTTGGCTGGATGAGATTTTGCATTTTAATTCCCTTGGTTTGGTCATCGTATTCTGAAGCGAAACTGAAAGTTTGGACGTTTACATGATTGCAACTTACTCAAAAGCGGTTGTGAATTTAATAAGTTTCGCACGTATAAAATGTGCTTTCTTTGATTAACTGTGATTAATCAAAATTGAAGAAAAGGTACTTTGTCCACCACTCCATTAGGAAAGCGTAAAGCATGGATGGATGCATGGATGGAGCATTGATGACCAGCTAAATCTTATCTCATAAGGAATTTTAAATAAGAAACCCTTTTTTCAGTCTTTAAACGATCCAAATCCACCAACAAGTTTAAAACACTAATTGCAAAAATGCGTATCTCCTGATGAAGTGTCGATTCCTAGTGTCAAAAACGCGAATCTCGGAATTTCTGCCGTATTTTCTAACAGTTTGAGAAATTATTGAAACTGCTGATGGAGTTTGAAAAAACTTCTTATTCTTGCTATCCTCAAGATTTCTACCCTTCGTCCGACAATGAAGAGGAATGCAGACAGTTCTTTTACTTTCCTGGAAAGTCCTGTTTTCTGAGATTCGCACCCCTGCACTTTCTCCATCGATATAGTGCTTTAGTATTGTTTAATGAACATTTGCATTTGGAATGATTGTGATTGTTCAGTCAGTAATTTTTTTTCTCATTCATTTCTTTACAAACATTCTTTGGTGTAAATGTTGCAGGCAATTAGCGATCGCCGGCAAAATGTAATTTATTCGTTTTTAATCAACAAATTAAATCGTTCTAAAGTGAAAAACGAGATTGGATGTAGGGATTATTATGCTTTGAATTCAAACATATGTTAGTCCCTTCTGCTTGGATATATGGTGCCAGCTAGCACACTCGCGAGTTCGTGAAATGTCACCAATTATCTGTGTTAGGTTCGGTTAAGCAACTAAACTAACTCCTTGGCAAAGCGGAGAGTATCGCTGGATTTGAAGGCGTAAAGAAATCTTTACTATATCGATGTTGTAATTACAATTTGACGAATTGACAAGTACGGAGCTTGCAAATTGCCGGCGATTGCTGACTCCCTCCGACTTATACACTGATAAAGATTTCAGAGATATTTATTTCCATCTTTAAGTTTACATGTACCTTTCTCTCTTCTAATCAGCATGTGTCCCATGTGTGTTTCTTGTTTGTTTCTGGTGCATCCCTTGGAATTCTTGGATTCGAAAATCGATGATTTTCGGGAAATTTCAAAATCCGAATCAACGGGATTCGTTATCCACCCGAAATTTCACTTGACCGGAAATCGAAAATCTGAATTTCTACTCGACCGGAAATGTGCCCCAATCGAAAACTTCACTTAACTGGAATTCGACCCGTCGGGGAATGTGTTTCAACTCAAAATTTGGTTGTTCTCGGATGGAGAATAACAAACTTAAATACCAATATATCATTAATTTTTTTAAAACATCACTTAAATTCGATATCAGCGATGGAAATATTGACTCCTTAACGTTAAAAACCGATTCTCCAAGAAGAAATACGTAGGTGCTGGTGTACCACAGTCATATCAGGTGCATTTAGTCATCCATGAATCAAAAATGAACAATTTCAATCTCACAAAATCGTCGATTTTCCGTAAAGAATCTTAAAAAAATCGATATAACCGATCCATATATCCACTGGTCAACATTAAAACTCGATTTTGCGTGTAACAATACGTAGGAACCGGTGTGTATAACATGTGTAAACAACGATAACAACCCCGTAGACACATCAATTCAACAAGAAAATGGCGGAAAATATGGCCGGAGTATGACCCTTTTGCCCCCCCCCTTCCCCGTAACTCAAAAACGGTTCCTATCCTCTTCTTGACATTTTTTCCTGAGTTTTCTGTTATTATAAGCTTCCATTTAAACCATGGTTCGATGGTCGAATCGAATACCGAAAAAGGGGCGAAATTTTGAGAGGCTCTTCCTTTTCTTACTTTGAAATTTCTACGAAAATGTTGCGCAATTTGAGTGTCTCGCGTCAAAACGGATATGACGAAGGAGTGCGACATTTATTTCGTAGATTGTCAAGTAGAGTAAAACTCGACAGTGGCGTGCTTTGCGATATATCGATTGATCTACCATTGAAAACTATGAAGATGGATCGATAGACACGGTGTTCGAAACGAACACCCCCTAGTAGCAAAACCACAGAAGGAAAAGATAAATATTATGTACAAAAGTTAATTTTTTTTATATAATGCATGCATACAAAAGTGTTAAAAGTGAACATTTTTATGTAACCATTATATAAAAAAATGTAATAATTTTCGTGAGCTTTTCGCGAACATACTAAAAATTCCTCTAATTCGCGTAAAGCTCACGAAAATGATGACCTATTTTTTTATATAATCGTTACATAAAAATGTTNAGACCCATAAGAATATATGCATAACAGGGCCCACGTCAAAATGCACATAGTTCCGTTTGGTAAAAATACGTCCATTTGACCTCCTTCTTAATGGGGAGACTGCCAAAATAATTACTGATCGGCAGTAGCATAATCGCTACACAACCTAGCAGTAAAAACATGGACTTGAATATTTTTAATATTTACATCTCCGTTCCAATCAGGGCCCCAGCTATTCCGTAGAATCCAAGCTTCTGTAATCAGAGGAACAGAACACATGTAAAGTCTGTCTCTTAATGGCTGGGAAGCATTAAAAATGATCCCGCAGTATACTGCCTCAGTAAGGAAAAGCGCCGTATGAAGCTTCAGACGTTGCAAAATTGTCTTGAGTTAACACGAATTCCCCGGTAAACTTATGAATATTTTTCTTCCAATTTTTCAGAGAATTTTTTTCGTATTTTGACCTGAAGCTCCTGAAAATTTCAAGGACAATATTCATAACTTCCCTATAAAATGAAAATTTTATCGAGGGGCATTTTGCAATTTTCGAATGTTCATACGGCGTTCTTCCTTAGCACGGCAGTATAGTATGCTGTTAGCAAGGAGAGCCGTGACTCTCAGAATTGTGAAATCGAGTTTCTTTCAAAAATCGTCTAATCTTTTTTAGATGAAATCAGTGGAACACCTGAAACAGCAAAATTTGTGTCATTTGTAAAAAAAAACATCCTATGAGAGAGCCGTTAGTGTGAAAAAATTGACTTTGTGTCAGACAATATATCCGAAAGGGGTTTTGTTCCGCCACACAGTTGATCGAGTCAATAGGAGAGGTCGGACAAAGTTTGGAAACTTTAAACGCTTATAACTACGTTTATACAAAGCTTTGAGGCTCTAAAAGTGGTCTCATTGGTTTTCTCGTGAAATATTCTACTACTAGCACCCATTGAAATTTAAAATGGGACGGAATGAACATCAAAATTTGCAGTTTTAGTAAAACATTTCATGTCCGACCTCTCATTGACCCGATCCACGGTGCAGCAGAGCGGCAATGATAACTGAATTGTTCAGTAATATGGCGCCTTGGTCTTTCAATTTCTATCTTTCTTCCGAAGTAGCAGGTGATCGGGATGAGTTGCGATTCGATAGGAAAATGTACGGCGAAACAGCGATTTCATCGAACTCGATCTGTTACAATATTATCGGATAAGATATTGCCATTCCATCACATTTTGCCACAAAATCGCGATTTTATCAACGACAATCTGTCGCAATATCATCGAAAAAAAACTGTGATTATGTATGGAGCTGAAATTTCGCTTTTATCTGACGCGATTTTTTAGAGATAAAATGGACCACTAGACAAGGTAAGAATTTAAGCAATCTGATACATGATTCTTAACCAGGATTTCACGTAGAATACGATTCGCACGATGAATATTACTGAAACCAACTCCCAACGAAGATATTAACGTTTTTATTTCACATTGGTCAAAAGGAATTTGAACTGCCCACTCAGAAGAAACTTAAAGCTCTACGTGAGTCAAATCGCGCACTACAACGGTTTCAGCAAGCTTCTCAATCAAGCAATGTTCATTTCCCACCATGTGTTTTTCAAACTATAAGCAATTTGCTATAGCTGAGCCAAAGCGTCAAGATTGAGGTTGTCAGATTTTTTTAACGCAGAGACGTTCATGATAACGTTTAGCGCGCGTTGTGAATCACGTAGAGCATTGAGTTTTCATGAGCGGGTGGTTTCAATTCACGCACCAAGAATCATTAAATATCTTCGGAAGAAGTTGATTTCGGTAATTGTCGTAGTGCGTATCTTGTTTTACGTGAAATTTTGGTGAAGAAACATGTATCAGAATGCTGAAATTCTTACCTCGTCTAGTGGTCCATTACGACAAGATCAAGGATAATCCGTCTATGTTGATGATTCTTACGATTTTATCGCCGCAAAATCGTAGAAAAATCGCGATTTTCCTATTGAAAAATGGTACATTGGTCTGCCAATCTCTCTCTCCTCCTCTTCCCATTTGTTTCTCTTATTTACGCTTTCTTCAGTAGTTTGATTGTTTGTTTTTTTTTTATTTTTACTGACATTTTATTTTGTTGGTGTGACAGAGATAAAAATAAATTGATCGGTGGATCGATAGATTGATTGATTTACCTGCATCGTGAGCGACAATGGTGGAAGCATGGTTGAATTTGTTAGGGTCGATCATCCTACAGTCTGGCGGATCAAAAACTCCCCCTGTGAAAAGCTGAAAGAAACATTTTCATTGCCATTAGGTTCCTCTCTTTCTTTTTTTCCCGTTGATAGACTAAATGACTCGCTTTACTTCTGATGTCCTTTGAGCTTTTGAAGCGAAAAATAAACAGCGGCTTTTAGTACCACTCTTGGCTTCTGATAACGTGATTATTTTTTCAGTTATTTTTAATTTTCCTAAATCTCATTTTCCAAATTCTTAGCTGGTCTAACTTTTTGTGGAGCTAAGTTCGAAATTTACAACAGTTTAATTCTATCACTTTGGAAGTTTTTGCTAACTCAAAGTTCCTCTCCACCAAAATCGTTCTCTTTCAGGACGACCTCCAAATTACTCAGAAAACCCCCTTACAACCCTCTTTGAATGCAAGAAAAGGACATTTCCATCAAATAAAAATGGCTGTCAATGTCTCATAAAATCCAAGTATCAGAAAATCGTTTCAAAACATTACTTCCAGTACTAAATGCCTGCTAAATTTTCTTTTTTCATCTGCCATCCACTCCACGCGGACTAATATATATCTGTAAACTTTGATTTTGTTGACAAGTTCACTTCCTGCATTCAAGGGTTCAGTCAATTTGTCGAATCAGCTGAACCCTTATACGCAGATATCATAACGTGGGTTAAAATCTGACATGGAATGTAGACCAGAGGCAAGAGACCCTCCATTGGTATCTTGGAAACGGTGGAAGCTCTTACTTTTGGGCCTTCAACATTCAAGTGTTGACCTGTACTCAGTAGATTGATGTTGAACATCAAGTTGGATAGTACGTTTCGCAAACATACCGGAATTTGGCAAACTTGTTTGGCTCATTACGTCACCTGGAGCTCATTATCTACCCGGTGCTGCCGTACTAAGGAAGAACGCCGTATGAACATTCGAGAGTTGCCAAATTTCCCTTGTTAAAAGACGTATTTTTGACAATATTCATGCACGTAATTCCTCAAAATCTTCAGATATTTTAGATTTAATTGCGTACAAAATTGTATGAAAATTTTGGACAATAATATTCGCAATTTTCACTGTAAATTCGGTTTATATCGGAGAAAACTTAAAGGAGAAACTTAAGGAGAAAACTTAACTAATTTTAACCCTTGTTAAAAGAAGTATTTTAACAACATTTATGCACGTCTTTCCTCAAAATTTTCAGATATTTTAGATTTAATTGCGTAAAAAATTGACTGAAAATTTTGGAAAACAATATTCGCAATTTTCCCTGTAAATTCGGTTTATATCGGAGAAAACTTAAGAGGAGAAAACTTAAAGGAGAAACTTAAAAAGAAAACTTAACTAATTTCAACCCTTGTTAAAAGAAGTATTTTTAACAACATTTATGCACGTATTTCCTCAAAATTTTCATACAATTTTGTACGCAATTAAATCTAAAATATCTGAAGATTTTGAGGAATTACGTGCATTAATATTGTCAAAAATACGTCCTTTAACAAGGGAAATTTGGCAACTCTCGAATGTTCATACGGCGTTCTTCCTTAGTACGGAAAAGAAGTATTTTTAACAACATTTATGCACGTATTTCCTCAAAATTTTCAGATATTTTAGATTTAATTTCGTACAAAGTTGTCTGAAAATTTTGGAAAATAATATTAGCAATTTTCCCTGTAAATTTGGTTTTTATCGGAGGAAACTTGGCAACGTCTGAAGGCTCATACGACGTTCTTCCTTAGCACGGCAGAGTGAAGAGTCTCTTGTCTCTGTTAAGATCTGACTTGGATTCGTGGCTATACCTGGATATCAGGATGCATGAAATAACCAGAGGGAATCGGGCTTCTACCATTGAGGACCTGAGTGATAGCCCTGTCATTACGAAGCTGTCCCCATACAGCAACTTTAATGGCCTTAGGGTGGTCCGGCTGGCAGCCTGTGGACCATCGACCTACGTAAGGGTAGTTCTCGGCTAGTGTTACCCCTGTGTGCATTAAGTAATCCAACGCTTTCTGAGGGGTTCCGCCGTCACAACCCGATGCCTCCGTCTGACAGTCTATTATTTCTGGGATTAGAAGATCAAATTTGGGATTAATCTCGAGGGTCTAGAAAAGCGTTAAATTTAAAAAAGGACTGTACATACACTGTTAAAAATCAATGATTTGCTCTGAGTGAATAGCCGGCGTGAAAAAAACATCCAGCGCGAATTTTGCGCCGTACTCTGAGTGAATAGATCAGAGCGTATATATCACCAACGACGGACGAATTAGTCGAGGTACGTACCTCAAGTAGCGTGAATTCAGGATCTACTGGTACGATTGCCGAATGGCAAAGTGGTAGCGCACTCGTCTATCACCATAGATGAGAAATCCAGGCTGCGGCAGTTCCGTTTTACGTTTGCCTATCAGATTTTCACTCCGGCCAGAGCGCGAAATTCGCGCCGAGCTTATTTCGCGCCGGATCCATTCACTCAGAGTAACAGGTGGTCAAAGTAGCAACTGAGTAAGCGTGAATTTCGCGCTGGGATATTCAACGGTGTACGACACCGAGCCCAAAAATGTACCAAAAAGTTAGGGAGTATGGACCATACTCTGGTTAAAAAATGGCGCAATCAGACAGTATGGTAACTTCCACCAAAATTATTGTCACAGTACGGAAAAATCTTGTCACTTTCATAATTTTGATGAAAGTTACCATACTCTCTGGCTGTGCCGTTTATTAACCAGAATATGATAAATGCTACCTAATTTTGCAGGTACGGCATGGTATGGTACGATTTTATAGCATTCTAATACGTACTCCTTAACCAAAAAGCTCGTAGAACATGATTGGCGCCACGAGAAGTAGTGAAATCAATTCTTAGCTCAGATCGACAGTGAATCTGCGGAAAAGCGTATTTCGGTTGCGATGTTTCGAAATCTCCGTTACTATTTTATTTTTTAAAGGCATACCGAACCAACATCATGGCTTGCAGTTTACATAAAATATTCTTTATGAAGACAAGAAAATCACGAAAATATCGAAAAATCATGTAGAAACCATGAAGGTAACCATATAGTTTACCATGTAGAAAATAAAGTATGACAGGAAATCTGCAAAGCCGGAAAATACGCGTTTCTGCAGCCTCATTATAGATACATCAACGATTTTATATTATGTAGGCTATCCTCCTCCACAGGTTTAGATAGCAGATCAATCGATATATCGCAAAGCACGCCACGCTACTGGGGAACGACGGTATATCAGAATACTTAAATGTATACCAAGTCTACTGGGCCACACTGAGGAAAAGCTATGGCTTATAAACCGATTAGTGGTTCATATGGAACACCACTAATAGTAGTAAAGGCAACATATAATATGGTTGGTTAGTTAATTGACGACGATCAGCAACCAGGATACCTTAGTGATGGTATATGTACCATAGTATGGTACGAGATGCCTTAGTATAGTTCACATACCGATAACCATTAGTTCATTTACGACTTTTAATGGTGAACCACTATCATTGGTTTGTAAAGCCTTAGATTTTTCTGCACTGGAAGGTCCTTATTTTCCTCATTTTGGAGAATCAAGAAAGGTCACTTTCAAAGTTGCTCCTTAAACTTTGAGACCTCCTTCAGCTAAACAAATCGTATCGGTTAAGGAGGCTTAAACGTCTGAAAAAGAACCTAAATGAACGAGGTGTCCAAAGGGAACCGTCTCAGCCCTTAGATTGGTATTAAAATGTAAAGTGCTCGAAAACGTTTCTCTGGTAGTTTCATTAATTACGATTTTAACTTATTGTTAGTTTTCAAGGAGTATTGCATGAAAAAATTACGCTTGTACGTCCAATGATTCTTGATTGTCTCTGTGCTTTAGGGCACCAACATCCTTTGTTTTTGAGCCAAGTTACATCATATATTCGTTGGCTCTATGAAAATTGCATGCTGACAATGTGTGAAAGCTAAACTTTAAATTTCAACGAACTCATCAGAATATTCTTTTTTACATAGAACTTCCTTATCTATTGATGAATTTACTTTACAATTGTAGAACAAATTATCATTACAATTTTGGAATAGTTTCTCACGGCTTTTGAATACATAGGTAAGTCCACACCCTCCCCCCTCCCAAAATAACTTCCCTTCTTGGGCTAAGGATCTCTTATCAGGGGGATGGTGACAAATCTTTTTTCAATTACGGGCTATGTTCTTATTTTCTAAAGTTAGAGCTTTACTCGTTTAGTACCTTGGACGGAGAAGTATTTAAGTGTTCCTTTCAAATGAGTATAGAGAATTTCTGCAGCTTCTACAGGAGCGACGGCCCAGCACGCGTTGCATGGCTCCCCATCCACTCTCTAAAAGATTAGAGATTTCACGAGAAAAAGAAAAGAAAAGTTATAACAAATTGTCTCTGAGCGCTGACTGCTATTCTTATTATAACAACTAATTTATTACTAGGGGGTCGTGCCCCCTGACCGCTTCGCGGTCCAAGCATCCGGCCTCGAGCGTTTTGAGCCTTACTGCCTTGCTAACGAAGAAACGCATAAACATTTGAGAGTTAACACGTTTGAGACGTTTGAGCAAATAGTCAAACAAGTAAATTTCAACTCATTAAAGAATAATCATTCATTTAAGATGACAGGAAACGCAGATTCGGTTTTTTTTTTAAATGAACAAATTTACTTAAATGTCGCAATTTTATAGAGACACCGAGGTGTAGAGGTGATTTGATTGGGGGGTGCAGAATAGAATGTCCACGATCCGACGACCGATCGATTGGGCGTGATGCTTGAAGTATTCCCCCAGTTTTGCAGGCGTCTCCCGTGATCGTTTCTTGCGCACCGTCCAATGTTTTGAAAATTTTATTCCGGAAAATAAGGTCCCTTTTTACAGATACGATCACAATTATCATGCAACAAAACTTTCCAAACTCTATAATTAATCACAACAATGAAAAAGAGCTTGGTCTCTTCTCCGGTGACTCAGAGACTTAAATGCGGGAGTAGAAAAGTTGGTTGGGGCGAAACGTGTGATACAACTATTTCGACTTCAGAGTAGGTTAAATTGCGCACCTACCAAATGAAGGGGAATCTCTCCTCGGGTGACTCGGAGACTTTAACGCAGGAGTAGAAAAGTTGGTTGGGGCGAAACGTGTGATACAACTATTTCGACTTCAGAGTAGGTGAAATTGCGTATCCACCAAATGAAGGGGAATCTCTGTTCGGATGACTCGGAGACTTTGACGCAGGAGTAGTAACTTTGGTTAGGTGAAACGCGTGGTACAACTAAAAATGTAAATTTGCGCATCCTCAAAACTGGGATTTTCCGAATTGATAACTGATTCCAATAGCAAATTTCACGGAAAAAACGATGGCGCTGTTACAGAATGTCGGAATCACCTCCGAAACTCATGAAAGCTGTTTTAGGAGCTCAAAACGGTCCTTTTTACGCGGGAACGGATCCGGTACACTCCTGACGCCTCATTACATGACAAACCTGGTTTTTTCATCAAGCGGCTGCCAATTCTCTATGGAGAAATACATCGGAAATGATGAAGAGTATTTTTTCTTGTCAATGTTTTTAAGAGTCTGGGCTCCAGATCCAAGCTACTTTCATTTCCAGTGATGAATTTCCACCAAAATAAATATTTTATCACGCGAAATCTGGCAACTGGCAACCCTCGAATGTTCACGCTGCGTTTTCCGTAGCCCGGCAGAGTAGGTCGCGCGTTTGACTTCGTGTCGTCAACTTAGCTACTGGGAAATTCGTGCTTTATCAAAGGAAATTTGGCAACGCCTGAAGGTTCATACGGCATTTTTTCTTAGCACAGCAGTATACTTAGAGATCCAATTCTCCTCCATCTAACTAAAATGAGGGAGTAGGAATTTGACTTTTTATTTTTATAATTTATTCATGTATTTATGAGCTTAAACCATCGAAACAAAATTATGTGGCTAGCACAACTGACTCAATGCGTGCGACACATGTCAATGGCCAAAGTGCGGAACCGCGTATCTCTGTTACGGTGTTTCAATATTTCTGCTCCTGTTTTGTTTTGTCGAAGAGAGACCTGCACATTTTATGGCTTGACATGTTTACGGATTATTCTGCTAGCCCAGATGAAAAATCAATAAGGAAGTTTTCAAAAAATACCCTCAGAGAACCCTGCTTTAATCTTACTAGAGGAATCTGCTCTGAATTTGATAGTCCTCACTTTTCACAATTTTATGATAATTTTATTTCGCTTCTAGTAACTTCGTGGGGGCGGGGGGACGCCACAAGTCAAATACGATAAAAATACTTTTAAAAATTTTCATTGCTCCCTTTCGGTGACATTTTTAGTCTGATGATAGAGCGCTAGGCTCTACTAAAAATTTCACGCAAGTGAGAAACGAAATATTTTAAAAATAATTTATCATACCTCATACATCGCTGTCAAATTTAAATTAAAAAGTAGTGCATCATTTTTATCAAAATTCAAGAAAAAAATGAAGTAAGTATGACAAGAAGTCTGCGATGTCTTAAACGTAGATACATGGTTTTAGCCATCGATATACTGCTGTGCTAAGGAAGAACGCCGTATGAACATGCTAGTGTTGCCAAATTTCCTTCGATAAAACTTTCCTTTTTAAGGAAAATAATGAATATTTTTCCTTGAATTTATCAGGTCCCTTCAGGTGAAGTTGCGAACAATATTATCCGAAAAATTGGAGGGAAAATGTTCATAAGTTCACCAGGAATTCCGTGTTTTATCAAATGAAATTTGGCAACGCCTGAAGGCTCATACGGCGCTCTTCCTTAGCACGGCCTCGGCAGTATAAAGGTTCAGTTACACGATCAAATTAAGCCGTCAAATTGGGCCTCTCATTGGTCGCATTCAGAATGCGACCAATGAGAGGCCCAATTTGATGGCTCAATTTGACCGTGTAACTGGACCTTTATGCCTTAAAGTGTCCACGGCACAGTGACCTCAGCGGATGAAAGAAGTTCTCACCTGAGCCATACAAGGGGGGTAGGGATGAACGTTACGCCAATCGAAACCTATCACAGGAGGAGGGGGGCTGGCGCTGGCCGCCTCAGATTCAGCCTCTGGAGATCCAGCTTCTAGAGATTCAGCCTCTAGAGATCCAGCCTCTAGAGACCCAGCCTCCAGAGATCCAGTTTCCATAGTCATATGCCCCGGAGGCACCATTTCCTGTGATCCACCCTGTTGAGACGCAGTTTCCTGAGACACAGTTTCCTGAGACACCGTTTCCTGAGACACCGTTTCCTGAGACACAGCTGCCTGAGAGGTGACTGACTGTCTTCCACTTTCCTGTATGCGAGAGTTCTCGTCATCTCCGCAAGTGGAGCATACACTACCGGGGGCTCTTCTGCCTACGTGGTCTTTCTTCACGTTGGGCAAACTGAAGTTCCGTCCTTTCGTGTAGGTCGCCATAAATTCATCACCTTTGTGTCAGAAAAAAAAAAAAAACACGTCAATAAGCTGCGAGATGTCGCACTGCGGGCTGAAACTTGTAATTTATAGACAAAACTATAGACAAAGAGGAGAAAAGAGATATGGAAGGATCCTTTTAAAGGAAGTAGGTTATTGCAATAGACAGAGAAGGTCGCAAAGAAGGTTGCAATAGACTAACTAACGGCAACCTACGAGAGACCCTATCGTTAGTCCATCATTCTCTCCCTCAGTTTGTAGGAACCAACCATTTCAATCTAAAGGATCGCGTCTTACTCCCTATATGTCTTCTTTGTCTAGCGCTTTGTCTATCAATTTCAACAATCACCCCGCAGGTTTTTTCAAGAGTTCCGCAAGATATGAAAGCTCAGTTGAAGGAACCGGAGATACGATTCCTGGAACTAAAATTACGGTTAAATGAACCGAATAGTAAGTCTGAAAGTACACCGAAAAAAAAGTGAAGTTGATTTAACATATTCTGGATGTAAAAAAAAGTGTGCAAGAACTTAGAGAGTGCTGAATTACCCGCCACAACAGTTAGTTTTACATTTTGGCATTGCTAAATTAACTACTGTAGCGAGAAATTCAGTATTTTACAAGTTCTCGCACACTTTTTTTACATCCAAAATGTTAATCAACTTCACTTTTTTCGGCGTACTGTGCTCACAGCTAATATCACCGAACTTTTTTTTCAGTGTGTGTTTGCTACGTTTTTACCGTCGGCATTGCGATCATGCAGAGATACGTTTAAGGCCAGATTTAGAATTTTTGGGGCCCCAGCCAAGGTGCAATATGGGGTACAGATTTCTCTAAATACAACCTCCTCGGCCGGGAAGAGGTATTCGGTCGCGAACTTTGTTTTGTGAAAAGTATGTGGAGTAGTCCGTGGGGCCTCCCCCAGAAAAACCAAATAATTAAATACCCTTAGACTCTCTGTAATTTTTTTAGCTGATATGAGAAATATACGCATAAAATTTGAATGGAAATTAGCTCCGTTTTCGGTTTGAAAAAATGATACATATTTGGAAATTAGGGAACGTTCAAAGTCTCGTAGCTACGCACATTCTGATTGATGCCGTCCAATTACGAGTGCAAGTTATGCATTGAGCATAAGCAAACCCACACGAATACAAACAAAAGAGCGTACAAATATAGCAATGTGCGGGCGTCGAAACGATAAATCAAAATTCAATGTCAAAAAAAATGAACTCCACCCGTTGTCGTACAATTGCTGCTTCATGCGTCATTTCTCAATTGTTTTGCTAAGCGCGGATCTACTCGCTGTTATATTATAAGAGAATCCTAATTTTATAAAGGAGTAAAGTGGGTTGATTCACGGCCCCTGCTGTCAGGAACTAATCAAATCTAAGCTCATCAAATTAATGTGTTTTCATGAGTGAGCAATTATTATCACATGAACATAACGATGCAAAATTCGCGGTAGAGTAATGCGTGTGGTAGTCTTTGATAGCCCCGGACGGACATGATTTTTGACCCCCTTTTCCCTGTGCCTACATCCAATTTCCCCCATAAAAATGGACCATCCTAGTGAAATTTTTACTGTAAATTATATAAGTATGTTCCCACTCAAATGAGGTATGTCGTTCATTCTATGCATTACATATTTATTTGGCCATAATTGATTACACTAAACGGTCAATGTAAAAATTCCCTGGTAAAAATTGGCAGTAGAATCTGTATTCCAAAATACCATAGACCTGCAGCCGGCTGTAAGATTTCCAATAGCTTCTATAGCTTTTATAGCCGATGGCGACTAAGCAACAGCCAGGCGATCAAATGTATGTACTGCTCTCTTTTTGGACCGTAGTATCTTGATTTATTTTGCGAGGAAAGCTCCGTACTTTTGATGGATGCTTGCCATTACTATTATATTGGAGCGCCTTCAGTTTCGTATGATACTGTGCAATACCTCTGGTGTGAAATAGTTGCTTCAAGCGCCGTGGCAGGCGGGCAGCCAGCAAGAAACACGCATTGGCGCCTACAAACCTAACAGGGATACTTCACGCGTTGTGCGATGCGTGAAGTATCCCTGTTAGGTTTGTAGGCGCCAGTGCGTCGCCGCAACACAATTTCTTATAGCCTTTTAAATCGAAGGCGAAAAAGCAACAGCCAGGCGATAAAGTGTAAAGCCTGGCGATAGGAACTCCGCCTTCATAATTTTTATCGCTTCCTATAGCCCGGCCGTATGATTTTCTCCGCATTCTACAGCCAGCTATATGATTTTCTGTAGCCTTCTTTAGCCGGCTATAAGAATTCCTATGGTATTTTGAAACGCAGCTCTTATTGCCAATTTTTACCATGGTTAATTGAATTAAAAGCAGGGGGTATGCATAATATTTGCGTGCCTTAAAGTTCTTTTCTAATTCATTCATTTGCACAAAGTTCCTTTTACTATAATTACGCCCATTTATCTTTTTATAGTCATACTGCTTTGGAAGGAGACGAGATGAAGTCTCCACGAAAATGTGCAAATATTTAAGTATCAATTTGCTATCATTGGCTGTTCTTACTGATTGTGATCTTGAAAGGCGAATAAAAATACGGATGGGCTCTTCTTTTGTAGTGGGTCCGTTATTCAACATGTGCTGGAATATATAAATGATCCTCGAAACTTACTTGTCAAGTCTGCAAACTTGGTAACTCCGAACATGGCGCTACCCCTTTTCTTATTAGACATCAAACGTGTGACCCTCTCCATATTCTCTTTAAAAATCTTGAATCTCAGCATTTTCTCGGCGGGTGATGTGTAGTTCTTTCCGTATTTGAGCATGAATTGTTCAAACTTGCGTAGTAAAGCTCCTTCTGCCCCTGTCTGGATGAAAACTCCAAATTGTACACTTTTTTAAAATTTTGTTGAGAGTGGAAAAATTGAACTTTTTGAAGCCACAAAATTACACTCAATTGGACGAATTTAAACCAAAAACAACTGTAAGGGATATTGGAACTTTGAGAAAACAATTGTGACATGACGACGGTGAAACTACCAAACCACGTATCTCGTTTGCGGTGTTTAAAAATCTACGTTCACATTTTATTTTTTTGAAGTAGACCAAATCAATATCATTCCTTGAAATTTTCACGGAATTTTCTCCGCACAAAGACGATCACAGAAATTTTCAAGACTGGATGTTAACCCTTACCTGCACACATTATGGGTTTCGAACGTTTTTTTGAAATTTCGAGTTTTCTAAGGCCTGTTGGGTCTAGATAACTCAAAATTAGTGAAAAAAAAATTTTTCGACTTTTTTTTACCCGGAAATTTTGACAAAAAAGGGTGGTCAGTATGACTGACCACTGAACAGGATAGGAATACGCAAATTTCCTATTCACCTATGTGGATAAAATTTTCGTGTTTTTTTTTATTTTTGTGTAAAAAATGATCCTTGTCTCTACCAATCCGCGCAAGACAATCAATTTCTGCCCTCCAAGCCCCCAACCCTTCCCTCGCAACCTCCCCTTACCTTCCATACTAACTTTACCAGTGAATCATAATTGTTGACTCCGTAGATTTTGTAAGTTTTTCACTTTTTCTTACATGTTTGTAAGTGATAGAGTCTCTGTTTTTGGAAATTGAGTGAAGCTAGTCTTAGAAAAATGTATAATTTATTATAAAAGAGTATAAATAAAGCAGAAATATATAAAACTGCTTGAAGTGAAGAACATATGAACGTAACTGGAATAAGTAAGGAGGCAATCAAAGACTAGTCACAATGAAATAAATTCATTCCTTCAAAATGCAACGATAATGGTCCTTTCCCACATAAGACTAGCAATTTTAAAATAATAATTTTGGTCAATAATTAAAAGTAATGAACATAATCATAAAAATTACTGATAAAATAATAATAAAAAATAAAGCAACAAGAATCCAGTTCCAGCTCCTATAGCCACCTGCACGGTGGTCAGTTATACTAACCACCATGTTCAAGCATGAATTAAATAATCAAAACTTCTGAATTTTTCAATTGCCAAATGACATTCTCGCAGCATTATAGTCTAACTTAATATTTTACTACTAAATCAGAACCATTTGCGTCGCACAAGCAACTGACAACCGCAAAACTGGAGATAACACCGGCGGCACCAAACCTCCAACGAATCGGAGGTAAACAATAGATGATAAAACAATATTGCCGACATAACATCGCCCGGCAATATTTTTTTTCATATTCTGGACCATATACCAAGTATAACTACATGGTTGGTAAGGGTATGTCGCGCCAAAACGGCCATGAATAATTATTTAAAAAGGTGGTCAGTATAACTGACCACTGAGCAGGTAAGGGTTAAGTAGTTTTTCATTTAAAAAATAAAGTATGACAGGAAGTCTGCGACGTCGCAAACCGAGATAGGTGGTTTGGTAGTTTCACCGTCGATGAGCCCTACAGAAACACATGTAACCTTATTTCAGGGCCTAGGTCACAATCGAGGAAGTTACTTTTGATTAGAAAACGCCCAATTTTAAAAACTTATCCCACAATTTCTCTAGTTTACCACCTTTGATGAATTATGCATATTAAATCGTAATCTTTAATTTACTGTGAGCGTATTTACGAGAAAACTAGATGAAATTGACACTTTCTACTAAGTTTTATGAAATATGTTTGCAATCGTCTCATTTTCGTTCTAATACCAAAAACAAAATGTTGACATTATTTGGTCTAAAGTTTCTCATGCCTTTGGACGGTCAAGTTTTCTTTATAAAATGAGGGTGAGGGGAATGGGGAGGTTTAGACAGCTTATAAATACATTTATAAATTAATAAATAATTTATAAATTTAATGAATAATTTATGAATTCAATAAATAATGTATAAATTGAATACATTTATCAAATAAATTTTATTGAATATGGGAAATATTCTTTCGCCACATGACGCGAGGCAAAAAAGATACCTACATGACGAAAACTAAATGACCACCAGAATAAACTGAGAGAGATTTTTCATGTTTCATACCTGT